TTGGTTAAGTGAATACTTTTATGATGCAAACACATTACATGGAAGTCCCTAACTGAAATTCCTGAGGCATTATAGTATGTACACCTACCTGATTTAAATCATAATCATTACTGACTTTCTCTGTATATAATGTGTATATCTTTCACAAACACCTCACATGTATCTCTCCTTCACCCCGTCTCCACCTTTGCAACTAACCCTTGATTAACTCCTCTCTCTGAATTGGTGTCCAAGTCTTATGGTCCTATGAGCAAGAGGCTGACCCTTAACAAAGCAAGTTCATCCACAACTCACTATACCCACAACACTGGAACATTCACAAAACATTTCATTCTTGGATGTCTTGGATAAACTTGCATTGCCACGATAAGGTGATGGATAGAATTACTTCATATTTAGGTTTGTGGCTATATAACATTGCATTAGATTAGTTTAATTTAATTTTAATTTAATTTAATTAATTTAACATTTAATTTAAATGTTAGGGTAAGCCATTTCAGGATTTGTGTTTTCACATACGGTAGCAAGTTAGCAAAGCTGTTGTTCACTATTTTACAGCTATTACCTCTTTAACTGTAACTATTAATAAATTAAAGGGTGATAATTGCTTACACTTATTTAGCGCGTTTCTGGACACTCCACTCAAAGCGCTTTACAGGTAATGGGGACTCCCCTCCACCACCAACTATGTACAGCATCCACCTGGATGATGCAACGGCAGCCATGGTGTGCCAGAACGCTCACCACACATCAGCTATTAGTGGGGAGGAGGGCAGAGTAATGAAGCCAATTCATAGATGGGGATTATTAGGAAGCCATGATTGGTAAGGGCCAATGGGAAATTTGGCCAGGATGCCAGGGTTACACCCTGACTCTTTTTGAGAAACGCCCTGGGATTTTTAATGACCACAGCGAGTCAGGACCTTGGTTTTACGTCTCATCCCAAGGACAGCCCCTTTTTACAGTATAGTGCCCCCGTCACTATACTGGGGATTTAGGACCCACATAGACTGCAGGGTAGGACCCCCTGCTGGCCCCACTAACACCTCTTCCAGCAGCAACCTTAGTTTTTCCCAGGAACTCCCATCCAGGTACTAACCAGGCTCACACCTGCTTAGTTTCAGCGGGTTGCCAGTTGTGAATTGCAGGGTGATATGGCTGCTGGATTATCAGAATCCCTATTATGCTGGAGTATCATAATCATATTGACACTTGCAGTACAATAACACAGAAGACTATGAATGTTATTATTCAATACTGTATGTATATTTGCCTTTCAGAAGAATGAGAGAAAGAAGGACATGAAAGAAAGACATTCTGACAGCACTTTAACATTCTTAATTTCTCAAAAGGAAGATTGAGACAATTTTTTTATCACTGTCCCCTTACAAGCATTCAAATCAGGCCAATTTCCCATTTCTCATAGTGGTAATTCTAAATGACATTTCAATTTATTTTATAGTAATGGTCATAAAATAACTTTGGGAAAAAAGGGGACCTCCTAGTCCTGATATTTTATAGAAATGTCATTTAAATCTATAAATATTCAGAATGGCACCAAGAATTATGATTGAAACTCAATGGAACATTACATCTTTTATATTAATCATTCTACAATGCCCAAATGCACAATAACTAAAGTATTTAAAAATACTTTGATAAACCTTGCATGAAGCTATATTTTCAAAACCCTCCAAAATCCATTTTGAGAAAACAATGGTTGGTAATTGTTTTCATTTTTCATCAATAGAATAGGATCATGATCTTTGGTACTTCAAAAACTAGTGGCATAAGTGATGAGCTGAACATTATTATTATTAAAATATTTATAGGAAGGAGAACATGCAGTGATCTATCAAATGTCAGCCTGCCTACTGAGGTATGACAATCTACACCTCAACCCTTCAAGTACAATTTTCAGTGTCCTTGGTCTTTGGAAATTATTATTATTATTATTATTATTATTATTATTATTATTAGACAGGAAACATGCTCTTTGATCTCATCAGTTGGGAAGAGATTAGAGATTTAGGAACGTGGTTCAAGGATGAATTGGTTTGTCCAGACATAGAGACAAGACATGCTGAAGAGATTCATAAAAATGTTTCCAGTCACAATACAGTTGTGTATGCCTCTTTGGAAAAGATAAAAACCCATCATTACATCACAGCCCCTTTTCAAGCAAGATAACAGCAGACTTCAGAGAAAAAGATGGCAGAAAAAAAATGGAATTTGCAGTTTTCCTCCCAGATTTATCCAAGTGTGGCCAAATGCAATAAACCACCAAGACTGTAACAGGAGAAACATTTAGAAACAACACGACACCTTTGAATGTGCAGAAAAAACAGATTTGTGGTTAAATTCAACCCAATGTTTTATTTCTCAGGGCCCCAGCTGTGTAAGATAAAGGCAAGACATTGTTGTCAAAATACTGGTGCAAAATTGTTTAATGTGCACTCTGCTGTGTTGCTTTTTAGCTTTCTTAGAGTCTCACTACAGAAGCACTTCATTCAGACTGCCAAGAACATTAGCATAATCCCCAGTAACTGCTTCTTCTTAAGGAATAATATTTATCATTTTCTAGAATCAGTGTTTTTTCATATCTACCGAAAGTGATTACAACTGTGCATTGTGCTCCTGTACTTTGCATGACAAGCCGAGCGGATACCAATCAGTCATGGTTAATAGAAAGTTAATGGAAAAGAAGATCTTAATGCACAATCATTTTAAAACAAATGCATTGCCGTTGCTTAATGAGCTACAGCTATTGAGCTTGACTTACAGTAAAGCTGCTACGTAAATATTTTATGACAAAACCTTGTTCCCATATTGGTCTGAAAAGTTAGTGGTTGTTGTTTTGGTCACTGTTTTTGAATGATTGTGTTCTAACAGAATACAATTATCCATACTAAGATTACTAAGAGCTTAGAGAATGAAATAAAAATTGAACACTTTGTGTTTTCTTGGGCTAAGAACAATAAGAATGTGAAATCCTTGCTCTTAAATACAACATTAAAATAAAAAAACTGAAAAGGCATGATTCATTCATGTATTCAAACCCTTTGCTGTGGCAAACAAATTAATTTATGTGCGCAAAATTACCTTTACAAGCCACACCGTTACTTAAGTGGCCTCTGTGTGCAGTAACAGTGGCTCTCATGATTTCAAAATAAAAAACACCTCTCTTTGTGCAGTGTCTTGGTCAGATAGTGAATTTAAAGTTAAAGGCTAAACCATGAAGTCAGGGGTTAAACCATTGAAAAGTACAGATCAAGGAGGGTACACAAATATTGGAAGTATCTGAATATCCCTGAAGGAAGAGTCTACTCAATCATCAAGAAATGGAAGATACATGTAGACACTGCCTAGATAGGATGTCTTTTCACTGTGAGGCCATCAAAAATTTTGAAAGAGCATCAGAGATTAATGGATAAAATGGGAGAAAAGTCCACAATATGCAGAACACTTCATATATCTAGCCTGTATGATAGGGAGGCAAGAAGAAAACCATTAGTAAAGAAATCTCCATCTTAGAGTCTGCTTGGAGTTTGCAGCAAAGCCCTTGAATGATCCTGCAACAATGTGGCAAATTGTGAGACTGAACTGAAACTTTTGTTCTAAATGCCAAGTATAATGATTGATGCAGACCCACCACAGCACACCTCCCAGTCAGCTTCATAACTACAGTCTATCATCTCGTATGCTATAGGGATGCTTGTCCTCAGCATGTACTGAAAAAGCTTGTTAGGACAGAAGCACATACAGGCACATACAAGAGGAAAACCTGTTTCAGTCTGCTGAAGTCTCAAAAGCTGGGATGAAAATGAACTTTTGACAATGATCTGAAGCACAAATCCAGAGCTACACTGCAGGAACATAAAATGAAGAAAGTGAATGTCCTTGAATCCTATTAATCCTATTGAGAAACTGTAGAAAGACTTGAAAACTGTTGTCTATAAGAGATCCCCAAGCAACGAGAGAATCTGAGCAAATCTACCCCGGAGAATGGGCAAAAATAGCACCAACCTGGTATACTAATTTGGTACAGGCTTACCCAAAAAGACTTGCAGCTGTAATTGCTTCCAAAGATGATTCCATCAAATATTGAGTTAATGAGTCTGGATAATTATGCAATCTTCTTACATTTACATTTCAATTTACATCTTACATTTTAAAAATGCCTTTGTACAGTTTTGTCCCAAATGAAGGGACAGAGTACTTTTGCGAGGCACTGTATACAGTATGTAAAAAAACAGGCCTGATTCCAGCCATGGCTGTTAGCCAACTGCAAATCCAAGACACTGTACTTGTTGTTATGACAACCTACACACATCAATGAAGGGAGAATTTCCTCATTTGAAACTATAACCCTTAGAATTCTGACATTTTCTTTACATAAATTTATTCAAAGTTTAATTACACCATTCCTGCTCAAAGCACAAACATATGATAATTTGTCCTGGAGTCATACAACATGAGTCTGTGAATATGGCTTTGCCTGTAAAGTATTTATAAATATTTGCTTTGTTGAAGTTGTAACACCCCTTTAATTAAATTATTCTAAACATTTTGAAAGGCATATTATCTGGTACTGAAGTCTTTGGTTATAAGACTAATAATTACATGTGTCTATATATTTTATCAGTTTTACGTTTATGAGATAAATATTTCATCTAACTTAAAGAGAATATTTTAGTACTGGGTGAAGAGTCATTCAATTTTCAAAGTTACATAGATCTCCATAGCAACAGTTTTAAGGCAGTTACTGAAGCTGACCTACGGAATACAGCAGAGCTTTAAAAATGTATTTTGAGCAAACCAATTGTGCCTACCATTGTGAGTGTTTTTTTATTATTTGCACAGTACTGACAATACTTGGCTTGGCCAGTTTGACCCTCTTAGCATGTTTCTTAATTCTCGAAATGTGTATAAGCTTCATGTAATACTGTGTTCTACAAAATGATACTGGGGTAAAACAAGGTTATTTTATTGTCCTCTAGGGTTCTCAATATTACAAGCTATCATGGAGTCTGCAGTGGCCAACAATTGGCAGGTGACAGCACGATCAGTGGGGAGTATAAGTGATCCACAAGAGTTCAGACGTATCATTGAAGAAATGGACAGAAGGCAGGAAAAACGCTACTTAATAGATTGTGAAGTGGAAAGGATAAACGCCATCTTGGAGCAGGTAGGATCAATATGCATGTTTTTTCTGCTTGCCTGTTAAAGGATCTGATAATCAATCATGAGTCAACTGAAAACACCCTCTTTAAAAGTAACTTCATCATTCACATAAAGTTGTCGAGCAGCAAGGTGGTGCAGCAGTTAGTATTGCTGAACTGCAGCACCGGGTCCTTGGGTTCAATTCTGGACCTGGTGTGCTGTCTTGAGTGGAGTTTGTATATTGACCACTTGTCTGTGTGGGGTTCTTCCCACAGTCTAACACACGGTGTGTGTGTCTGTATGACCTGGCTTCCCATCCATGTGTACCCTGCCTTGCACCTGTTGTTTTCCAGAATAAACTCTGGCTCCCATGTGACCTTGAATTGGGAGAAGCAGGTAGAAAATGGATGGATTAACACAAAATTCGAAACAGAGCCTGAGACACTAAACTTAGCATGTCGTTTTTTGGATATTTTATTAATGATTTCCCAAAAAAACCATGACGAAATTCATAAAACTCACTTTTTAAAAGGGAGGGCTAGTATACATCTGTCATTTCCTGTTGTTTGAACCAAAAGTACCTATCACTTGCTGCAGTGAACAGCTCCCTTAGTCGTTGCGATGCAAAGTGCAGAATGTTATACCATTGTCATGGCTGCTTATGAAGTAATCACTAAGTGAATTGGATTGTGCTCATTAGAGTTAATTTAGATATATTGATTATTTCCGCTAAACAATATTCCTGAATGAGTTTGAGTCTGAGTTGTTTTTCTGAATTTAATTTGAACTAAAAGTCATTGTTAAATACAGAATTGCTCTTAGTATTAATTTACTGAGTCTAAGTTAATTCTAGCAATGACAATTCCCTAACTTAATAGGTTTCAGTAAAATCACGTTTAAAATGTCTTATAATGCTTTTTCTCAGACAAGAAGGTGGGGAAATATATATAACATTATCGCTGTACTCTATGACAGTCTTTGACTCTAAATGGCCACAGTGTGAACTTTTCTGCAAATATTGTTTTTAATAATAATACAGTGATTTTGATGCAGTGTACCCGGTTGAATTATTAATTTTGTTTCAAGTCTAGGCTATATTTTAATCAAGAACAAGTAGTGATTCATTCCATGCTGAAAGTAGAAATAAATTTAATCTATCATATACAGTATAGGAGGCTACATCTGAAATGTAGTTTTTCTTTTATATTTTTCAGTACGGAATTAACCTCAACTTCTTCCTTTATAGACTGCATAAAGACCCGGCACCCCATACATAAATTTCAATAAGAAACAAAAGGCCAATTACTCTACATTGAAAACTACCGACCAAACCAAAAAAAACTCAGGGAAGGCTTAGCTCTGTTTTTTTATTATTTCTAAATATGTATATAATAAAGCTTTTATTTAAAATTGCAATACATGTTATTGATTTGATGTTATTGCTTATATGATTTTTCTAAGCAAAATTAACCTTAAATGAACCAATAATGTTTTATCATGAAAAATAAACCACAACATTTTCAGAGTATCTTTTAGTTGTTTATAGCTGCTTCATCCAAGGATGAGCTGAAGTAAACCAGAGCACATAAAGGACACACGGAACAGAACTACAGTCTATATGGGTCACTAGTTTATCACACGACACATACAGTGCCTTGCAAGTGACACTATTCAGACCTTTGCACAAATTTAATATTTTGTTGCTTTAAAGCTTGCAGACATGACAGTTTGAAGTTATGAATATTCGTTATATACACAATATATGGCTCACAGTCAAAGCAAAATAAGCAGTTACAAAACGAACATAAACTACTGTAGGTGCTTCTATTGGTGCTGCACAATGGTGCGGTGGCTTGTATTGCCAACTTGTAGTACTGGAGCCCTGGGTTCCCACAGTCCAAAAACAAACTAGGTTAACTTTGTTCTGGAAAAAGTAGCCCTGCTGTGAGTGTGTGCGTCTGCCCTGTGAAGGACTGATATTCCATCCAGGGTGTATCCTGGTTCTTGCTGGGATAGGCTCCAGCTTCCACATGACCTTGAATTGTAAAAAGCAGTTAGAAAGGTGGATGGATAATTTCTCTTGGGTTCAGAAAAATGGGAAGGTGAAATCTTTGCTCTTAAAGCAAAAAATTGTACTTTTATGATTACATATTCAAACCCTTTACTGTGGAAAACGTTGACCTTAGCAAATCACACAATTAGTTGAGTGGTCTCTGTGTGCAGTACTGTAAGAGCAGTTCTCACGATTTCAGAATAAATGCACCTACTGTATCCCTGTAATGTCTCACAGTCAGGTAGTGATTTTCAAGCAAAGATTCATGAACACTAAGGAGCTTTCAAAACAACTTGGGTATAAAGTTGCATAAAGACACATTAGGAGAAGGGTAAAAAAACCTTTTAATAATCTCTCTTTGAGACTGAGGGAGTTGATCAAAGACACTAGATCAGACTGCTCCTCCAAACTCAGTAGCAAGAAGGAATTTGGTTAGGAGTGTCACTGATTTATAGGGTTCTGTGGCTCAGATGAGAGAAAATGTCCATAGGCCAACAATATCCAGCTCATACTACAAAGCAGACTTGTATGGAATGGGAGATAAACCATCTCCAATCAAGCAAGGTTTGAAACAAAGCATGTAATTGATACTACAAACATGTGACAGAAGGCCACAAACTCAACATACTGCATCACTTAATCAACACCATCCCTACTGTCAAGGATGGTGGTGGCAGCATTATGTTATAATTCTGCTTCTTATCAGCAGGGACTAAGAAGCTTGTCAAGACTGATAGGAACATAGATGAAGCAAAGTACTAACAAATCTTAGAGGAAAACCTGCCCCAGACCTTAACCGGAGAGAAAATTTGTGGAATGACTTGAAAACTGGTGTCCATACTGTATTCTAAAGCAACTTCAGAGAGCTGGAGCAAATCTACCAAGAAGAACTGACAAAACGTATATCAAGCACTTGCATCAAAGTTGGTAGAGACTTACCAAAAAAAGATTTGTGGCAGTAATGGCAGCCAAAGGTGCTTACAGAAAATATTTGAGTTTGATGAATAACAGTATGAACATATCTCATTTCTTTCTCTGTAGTTGTTTGCCATATTTGCAGTAACATACTAGTGCAAGCAAAATATACCTGTGGTCTCATAGATTGTATCTCTAATCCTAGACCATCATGTTACTTTAGATTTGCAAGTTTACATCTATTGCTAATCAGAGTCTGCAAAACTATCCTACAGCCTAAATATCTAGGGAGCTGTTCTCAGAGTGTGCATATGCTGTCCATGTTTGTTACTGGACTTTATTTCTGTTTTTAAATCCCAGACACTATATTCATGAGCAAGTGTCAGTTATTGTATACAGGCTTGTTCAGTCAGTGCACTGTAGTGTGAGATATATTTTTTAATCTATTCCATAAAACCCAGGAGTACAGCAAATGAACCATAACTCTTAGAGCAGAAATCACAGTGCACGACCTTGCAGTGACTGTGTGAATTAGAACAATGACATTTTGTAAAAGCCCGGGCTTTTAAAAAAAACGTTATTACTATCTTATGGATGATTTAAGTTTCAACCTTGGTTAGTAAAGACCCTTCTGTTGAAGACTCATTCCAATTAATTATTATTTGTATGTTTGGATGTTTTCAGCAGCTCATTTTAATAAATTCTTCTTAATCCCTTCTTTTCTTATAAGGACACAAATGTCTTTTCCTTCTCCTGAAATAAAAACACGTTATTATTTTGCACAAAAGGGCTTTATTGTGACCTTTTATATCAGATGGATTTTTTCCTCCCTTTTAAATCCCATTTTTCCCCTCTGGGGGGATTATTATTAAAAAAGGAGGGGAAAGTCACATTTTTAATATCTCTAAGAGAGCAACTTTACTGAGGAATTAAACGAGTTAAAAACATGCAGATGAGAAAGTAAAGCTGTAAATATTGCAATTTATCTCATGGTTCATATTCAATTTAATATAATGAGACACATTATTCACACTCTGTGCATAATGTTTCACGAGAGAACCCTGGACATACTGTACATATGTACTATATAGAGAGTAAAAAGTTCTTTCTTAAACTTTTAAGACAACAAAATTGATTGGTGGTATTATTCTCTTTATTGCTTCTTTCATTATGAAGGATTCTCACATGTCTACAAAATGCAATTATATAGCCAATGTGCACATCTAATGAGAACAAATGTTCAATTACACTTATCACTTTTGTGCAGTATATACAACATTATATGTTATACCCACACATTAGAAAGGTTACAAACAAGAGACAAACATTTGGACCAACTTGCTTGTTTGGATAATTGTGTCAATCAATCCTAGACTGCCTCTTTTTGAAAGATCCTAAAAAGTCATTTCTTTATTTTGATTTAGCAGTTTATTTTAAAAAGGTGCTTGCATACTTGCATAATTTTATCTTTCTCTAGCAAAATCAGCCATGTGTATTGTTAATTTAAAACGATCCCTTGGGATCATATTAAATTCAGGAAATAATATTATTACTTTTGTAATTGAAGACATTTTGCCATTGAGCAGTTTATTTTGAAATATAAAAATACTTAAAATGACTTAATTTTGAAAAATAATTAAAATGTATGGAACATCTGGAAGGTTATGCATTAAATATATCTGTGGTCATTAATTGTTTTTGTGCAACAGTCAAGAAAATGTTGCTTTATTTATTATTTTTCTTAATCTGATTGTAGTTTTCAAAGTGCAACTGTTTTGCAGAGATATTATTTTAGAATACTATTTTAGTTTATTTCTTTATTGCAATTTAAATGAAAAAATACTTAGAATGAATATATACAGATTTTAACCTGCCATCAGCAAAAATAGCCTAGATCTAGACAACTCATGGTACATTTCATCAGTTGAATGCCTTCCTTTTTCAAGGGGAATATCTAATGTAGGTCATCAATGCTTGTTCTATCAACTCTAATATCAGGTCTTCAGCAAAGTGGGTCATTCTATCCTAAAGTGGCTCACATACATTAAGGTTTCTAA